TCATACCCGCCAACAAGCATTCGCCTTCTTTGTTTCGACACCAAGTTACGTATGTACAAACTTTTTGACAGATAGTTTATCAGATTATGGTGGAGATCCGTGATACTCAGATTAACAGGCTTCTTGAAACCCTGTTTGGACAATCTTGGCCCCATTTCTTTGTTCTAATCTTAAATCCCAACGCAATACCTGCATAAGATGTAAACCATTAGGTTAAGTAGGGGTAAATATAGAGCACCGGCGCCGGGTTACTTTCAAGGCGGAGCATAAACTTATGTTTGAAAACACTAAAATTGCCATAAATGGTAGGTCTAAACCCATAAGTTTAAAGATACAGTGGGTTGAATGCTAAAAACATTAAATATTGAACTCATAGAGTTTAAATCCTGGATACGCGTTTAAGATATATACCTTTTCGTTGATTGAGGCATGGAATTATACAATGTTTTTAAAAGGCTTGAAGAGAAAAGCTAGAAATGAACTTCACACTTCTAATTTCAACGTCCAATTTCAAATTGTGGACCATGTCTCGTTGGGATCAATTTGGGAGTCATTGAAGTTTACTGAATTGCATGGCTTCGCCCATGAAGCAATAATTCCTTGTTTTACATCACTTTATAGCTTTAAGCGACATCTTTTAATTACACTGAAACTGAATGCCATGAAGCTACAATTTACAGCTAGTCAAAGCATTAAAAAATAGGAAGTAATTACAAGAAAAATGTTCAGAACATGTCAAATGATTAATTCGCAATCTCAACATTGATTTTTCTAAGCACCGAGCATGCAAAACTTGTCCAGTAAAACAAAATCTAGAGAGTGAGCACCAAAGTGGTGGTTATACCCATAGTTTGCAGCTAAAACAGTGATTATTATGTCTACTATATGAGAAATTATGGCCACCCCATGAATTTGAATATAATCAAGTTATAATTTTCCATTAGTAATTTTACTTATTAAGCTACAAGCTGTAGGATTTCAAACAACTTGATTAACTCTAATTAGAAGATATAAGGTGTATTGAATTAAAAAGATAAACAGATATGACCAAAATAATCACTTTCTGCTTATTACAAACTATGAGAGTAAATACGATTTGACAAGGGGAATAACATATCAACTATCCACACAAAAATTCGCCATAGATGTTGCTTGTCCACTTTAGAATATGATGCGAACAAAATTTTTTAATTGTTGTAGTGTTCCAGCATGAGCTTGCAAACAGATAAATAAAAAACCCAAAGTCTTATCCACGCACTTCTGCACAAGAAATTTTAATTGTTTATAGTGTAGTTATGTAACAAAACATAATATTATTATTTATATTGGTGTAATAAGATGTTAGTCACGTATTTACAATGTGTTACCTTGCATCTTTGTGTAAAAAATAGTTTTTAATTACTAATATGAAGATTTGAATAGCTTAATTCAAAGTTCTAAAAAATTTCTATTGTTAAAATATAGACAGCTTTCTACATTTATAAGGAGCCTTTACTTTTTTTTCCTTATATAAGCTTGGCTAAGCGAAAATAAGATAAAAAATTCATAACTAAAAATATTTTTTGGGTGGCTTTACTAGACTTTCCCTTGAGCCATCGCTGTCCATGCACATAACATGAAATACCAACACCATATTAGCAAATGCAAGACAATCTTGATTCCATTTCAACATGGATTTTTGTAACCAAATAGAGACCTAACATCAAAACAATGATAAGGAAAAGCCACAAGGTTAAAATTGAGGAAGGAAGTACCATTCAAATTGAACATAAAGATCCAAATCAACTTGCTATTGATTGGAAAGCAGACCATAAATTTCAGAAATGGTAATAGGTATGCCTCCCTTTTGGTCACTTTTCGTTAAAAATTGGTCCAAGAAACTAGTACAGCTTGTACATAAATTTGGTTCTTGGACCAACACAAGGGAATGGATGGTTTTCTTTTTTCTTTTTTGATTTTATGGGGCCAAGAAGAGGAGTAAATGGAGTCCATGTCTGGTTCAGAAAGAGAGAGAGATGGAGAATTGGGAAGATTCTTAGTATAACTATCATAATGATGAATTAGGAATGAGTTTTGGACAACCCCAAATTGGAGGAAAATGAGCCGCAATACATGCCTGCATGGTTGCTCCTGTGACCATATGTATAGTTTTCCCTATAATAATCTTCTCTTTTTTCCTCACAGCTTGTCCAATACTTATTTTGGGGTCCGACTAATTAAAATTAGTATCAAGAAATCTGATTTTGGGGTAAAGTATTCCCTCCCAAAGATGACTATACTATACGGGTAATTATCTTAAAAGTACATAATTGAATAACAAATTTAACTATCCGCAAATTTATGCGGATTTCAGTACTGAAAAATAAACATTATTTAGTTATATTACTTATGAAGAATTTTATACCACAAAACGAAATTGTATGAGTAATGCGTAGATTAAAATTTACTTCATTATACATCAAACCAAACGACCCCTAAGCCGTATTAAGTATAATTCGCCGAGGTAGCTTTAATTAATAATATAGTTGCATTATCTGGTTGAAATTCAAGGTAGGAGGTGAGATTTTTGGAAAGTTCGTTAAATTTCCCTGTTATTTGTAATTTATTATTGTCCACAGAAAATTATTTAAAATTCCAAGTAGGACAATCTAAAATGGATCGTCCACGTGTCAAAAATGCGACCATCAAGATAATAACAGGACCTCTATTAACTCTTTTTACTCTATTGCCAAGTTTAATTTGAGAAATAATGGTAGCATCATCTATGGCTGTGGCATCAACAAAATCTACATTTTTCCACTGCGCGTCATCTTCTAGAGAATTTGGATCCAATTTCAGTAGTGGGGTTCCCATAAAGAGTCTTAATTTTCAGTTAAAAAGCAGAAGAACTAAAGCTAGAAATGATATTTGTTTGGTAGTATCTGCTACTGGTACAGGTAAAATTTCTGAAGAGAGTAATGATGTTAGTGGGGGGAGATTTTACCTCAATTTCACTGGATTTCCTTTTCCTCTTGGTCCTTTTCTTAATAGACGCACCATTAGAACTGAGGTAACCATTAGTTTTTTCTTGCAATTATGCTGCTGTTTAGTGTTTATGTGCCAAAAATGGAATCACCTGATTGATCATATTTCATGAATTTAATGATAATTTAAAGGATTCTTTTTGGACTATAGTAGTATTATTTTGCTGGTCACTATTCCCACTTTTTATAGGCACTACCTATAATTATTTTTTATGGTGTAAAATTTCTCTTATGCTGTCAGTTTATAGAAGTTAATCTGATTGTCTTTTTTCTCTTTGGATTCTTTTGAATTTGTTGAGTCCCACATCGATGGGCGTGGGAGGCCATCTGTCCTAGCTTTTGGGTTGAGTTAGGTCCAAGGTCCATTTATCAGAAGATTAACTTAAACTATGAGCTATAGCTTAAAGGAAAATGAATCTAAAAGTGAATGTTATATCATGTGATCACTTCATCTAAAAGGAAGGGTGACATTTATTTACTGTTAGGTCTGCAATATTCCCTTCATGTTTGGGGTTGACTCTTTCTCCTAGATCAATTATGTGGAAATTCATTTGGATATTGAATGGCAGTGAGACATGGACGTCTCTCTGATATCTAACTATGTAGTAGTGTTTCGTGGCTCTACATCATTCTTTTTGTTATATTTCAGATCAATTCACCACATTATAGGATGTCTACTATTAAGAGTAACTACTAGACTTTACCGCCAACACCAACATCAACTGTTACTTAGGAATTATGTTGTTCTTTAAACACGGCATAATATGACAAACATATATAAGAAGACATTACAAAACCTAGATACTGAAAAACAATCTTCGACCTGAGGTTCTGTGATGGCTATTAGCTTGGATACTCCAAGCCATACCTGTGCTGGATCCTCCAAAAATAGTGCATTTGAGGATCCGATATGGGTGCAGCCGAAATTGTGGAGGATCCGAGCAACACTGAGTGATGGAATGAAGTGACGTGAGAAACATACTCATGTCTGCTAGTTCTTTTGGCTCTGTAAAGGCTTAACAGTTAAGCAAAACTCAAAATCTTTTGGAGAAGCAACTTTCATGTTTAACTAAAACGGATATCTGGGAGAAATAACAAGTTTCGCTAATAAAATTCCTGGCAGGTGTATGATCATAATGAAATATACTGCATTTAAGACTCCGGAATTGGACTAACTAGAACAGTCTTAATTTACCTGTCTTTTTTGAATTGTTATATTAGGTGATTGATAGATATAGCTCGGCATCGTAATCTGTAGAGAGGATCTTCAGAAAAACTGTATGTATTCAGACAGAGTACCCGTATTGTGCCACTAACACTTTTTCATCATTAGTATCTCAGGTTGTCAAAGACAGCATATGGTTATTTGAGCAAGAGCAAGCATTGGGATTCAGCAGTGTTTCAACAAACATCAGAATGACTGTCATCAAACTTAAATCTGGTGAATTGTGGGTTCATGCTCCTATTGCTCCAACCAAAGAGTGTATTCAGGTAACTCTAAAGCCAACATCGTCAACTATCAATGATTTTTCAGTAGATTGGATTGAGGATGATATTTTCTCAGTATTTCAAGTATTGAAATGACTAGAAATTATAGGGGTTGTTTCCCATCTTTATTTTTGATGAAGTTGATAGGGGTTCTTGTTTACTGATGGTGTTGATCTACGATTGGCTGTAAACATGCTATATTGTTAGAAGTGTTTAAGATTTGTGCACTAACAGTTGATAGATATTTAGGTTATCATGTTAAGTTGGATCTACTATAACATGTAACTTTTCATAATAAGCCTATGTTTAACTTGACAAATAGAGTAATCACTCTCCGTAACCAGTTAAAATGAGTTGATCAGTGTATATTGTTGAATTTGGCAAAACTTTTTGTCCCACATCGGTGGGAAGAGAAGGGTTGGGGGGATTTC